ATTATGAAGTACTGTGTGTTCATGGAAGAAAAATGAGCAATACAGCTAAACTAAATGAATAAACAAATCCTTAGTATCCCACCACTCGGAGATAACCATATCTTTGATACTTTTATGCAACAGATGACAGGAATTTAGGGAAAGTTTATTTTCTGGCTAAGGGAGTGGTGAAAAGTTCCATCTTCCCTCAGTCCTCCAGGAGCCTGGCCTTTTTACGTCTGTAGATAGGAGACATATAAAGTGCAAGGAGGGTTTAGCAGGAGAGGGTTGTCTCACTTGGGGGTCAAGGAAGCCCTCCCTCCTCAGGAAAAGGCTCTTTTAGGCTGAGAAGGAATTAGTTGAGCAAGAAAATGAGGAAGTTTCACAATAAGAACATGCAATGTTTTCTTTTAGAGGTCTCTGGCTGGAGGGCAGAGAGGGGACGGGAAGTGACATGAAATCAGCTGCAGGGGTTGGCCCCACCGCATTAAAAGATCTTGTCTAGACCTAACTGTTTACAGGAACTTAAGAAGATAGATGAACAAATTAAAAACACCCCTAGGAAGTAACAGATCCAGAATGAGGAACATTCTATAGGAATTCAGTTTCTCACGAATCAGTGACATAAAAAAAAAAAAAAAAAAAGGCAGGGTAGGGAGGTCTATTATAAGATACAAGAGACTTAAGAGACAGAAGTTGTGTGTCTGTCGATCTTATTTCTTGATCGGAACAAACCAGCTGTCAAAGGCATCTTTGGGGTAATTGAAAAAATCTGAATATGAACAGGATATTATATTAAAGAATAGATGTTGATTTTATTGGCTTTGGTAATGGCATGGTAGTTACACATTTTTTTTTTTTCCCAAATAGAGGCATGTTTTATTTATTTATTTGTTTGTTTGTTTATACAAGCACTGGGTACAGTCAGAAGCGCGGGAGGGTGAGAGAATTCACCAGAGCCAGAGTGGGGAGCAGAGCAGGCAGAGGGACCGAGGTACACTGCTGAGGGGAGCAGCGGGCAGCAGGAGAGGTGTGCGCGCCATGTGGGACCCTCCTCCGGTGGCCGGGGAGCAGCCGGGGATCGAACCGGCGCTGCAGAGGCCGCGGGCAGCTTCGCAACCCAGCGCTCAACCGCTGCGCCACCGGGGAGGCCCGGTAGTTACACATTTTAAAGGCTCATATTAGTTATAGATGCATGTAAGTGAGATGATTGATAACTGGCATGTGCTTTATAAAGATTTATTTATTTATTTTTAAAGATTTATTTTTATTTATTTATACAAGCAGTGGGTACAGTCAGAAGCGCAGGAGGGTGAGCGAATTCACCAGAGCCAGAGCAGGGAGCAGAACAGGCAGAAGGACCGAAGCACACTGCTGAGGGGAGCAGCGGGCGGCAGGAGAGGTCTGCGCGCCATGTGGGACCCTCCTCCGGTGGCTGGGGAGCAGCTGGGGATCGAACCGGTGCTGCAGAGGCTGCGGGCAGCTTTGCAACCCAGCTCTTAACCACTGCGCCACCGGGTAGGCTCATAAAGATTTATTTATGCTTATAAGAACTACGGTGTAGGCCAGAGGTGTGGGGGTTGAGAGGATTCACCAAAGACAGAGTGGGGAGCAGAACAGGCTGATCTACTGAAATATACCGCAGAGGGCAGCAGCGGGTGAGGCCAGAGAGATCTGCTGGCATGTGCTTTAAAGCACTCTGGAAAAAAGCAGGAGATGTGTGATATTGTGATATAATTAGAAATATCTGTTTGGTCTTCATCCCAGGTTCCTGGCACAAGAATTCTTATGATTCTTAGATTTTCTTGAGTAATGGAGTGAGAGGAGCATCTTCTGTTATTCATAATAAACCCTTTTCAACCACACCTGAATTTGTGCTAATGAGGTGACTCTTGGTGAGTGTCAGGATTATTCTTTAGGAATAACCTCCTCTGTGTCTTGACTCTATCTAATCATCTGTGATTGTTTGATAGGGAGCTATGTGTCCTATATCAGTTCACACATGCTTTTCTACTCTGTAATATCTAAAGCCAAAGGCTGCCCCTAAATTAGTCACTCTCACAAAGGTGATGATGCCATCTACAAAATGAGGCAACTCCTTCACAATATCTCCTCTGGTTGCAGTGGTTTCTTAGTTTTTCCCTGCACCCTACCCCCTGCTCCATGCTGACTACTTTCTTGGCCACCAGAAGCTTTAGAGGTACTTTCTGTTCCAGAATAAGTTTCTACTTTGTGGATAGCTTTGAGGTTTATGACGGAAACAGACTGACCAAAATCTAGCTTAAGTGATAGCATCAAGTGATAAACCAGAATGCTTTTTTAATTTAATTTTAGCTATAGCAGATAATAACTAAGGGATTATATATTTTGCTTTTTTCTTATTAGTCTGCATTTTCTTCTCTATCCATTGAAACAATTTCCTGGGCATTGTATCCAACTCTAAATTCCACTGGTAACTTCATAACTGATTATAGCACAGCTGCTCCTCCATACCTTGGGTCACCATGTGGTCACCCAGCAAATATCCTCACTCCCCAATCTTTTGTCCTTTCTCTTCCCAAACCACATCTTTCTTTTTTTTTTTTTTAAAGACTTATTTTATTTATTTATGTATACAAGAGCTGGGGGTACAGGCCAGAGGTGTGGGGGGTGAGAGGATTCACCAGAGACAGAGTGGGGCACAGAACAGGCAGATTGACTGAAATACACTGCTGAGTGGAGAGCAGGTGAGATAGGAGAGGTCTGGGCCATGTGGTTTAGCTCCTTGGCTGGGGAGGGGGGGAGCGGAGGAGGGCATTGAACTGGTGCTGCAGTGGCTGCTAATAGCTTCATAGTGCTGAGACTTAACCCCTTGCCCAAACCACATATTTCTGTGAACTAGGGCCAATCTAGTAAATCTCACTTCTGATACCAACTATTCCTGTGTTTACTACCAGCACTTCTGACACCAAATATGTGGTTTTTATTTTTACCCACCAACCAATTATACAACTACGCTGACACAAACTGGGTATCCTAAATCACTCAATTCTGACACTAAGTACACAGAGTGATCTCAGTCCCAAAAGACTGTCCCCTCCAAATGCCAATCCTAAGACCTGGGCCTCCTGCCATGGAGCTTCCAATGTTCTCTCAGGTGCGCCGCCCTCACACCTCTGTGTGGTCACTATCCCAGAAGCTCTCTTAAACCCATTTAGGATATCTTTTTTAGTGGACGACCCATAGGCAATCAAAGGCTTGACTGGTTAAATCACCAGCCTTCATGATTAACTCACTCTCCAGCCCCAGTCCTCTCCCCAGGGTTTGAGGGGTATGCAGAAAATTCCAGCCCTCTAATCACAAGGTTGTTTCCTCTAGCAACCACCCCCTTTCCTGAAGACCCCATGTAGGGTTGCCTCATTAGCATAAACTCAGATATGGTTGAACGGGACTTATGAATAACAGAAGATACTCCTCTCACCTCTCCTACTCAGGAAATACAAGGATTTTAAGAGCACTTGTGCCTGGAACCTGGGACAAATACTGACTCTACATGTCTTATTATATCACAGTATCACAGGGAGTAATAATATCAAGAGAACTTTATGTTGTTAATTGTTGAGACTGAGTGATGGATAGATAGGGATTCATTATGCTGTCTAGGCTTTTCTGTACTTTTGGAAACTTAGATAAAAAGATATTTATAATAAAAGAGAAGGGCAGAAAGACACCTCATAAGTTATACTAGGGAATCTGAACTTGATTTTTAATTTTAAATATTTTTTTTTTTTTACATTTTTAAAGGACAGGTTTATTAGGAAAAAGGGGGTGGGGAGGCACCTGCATTGTCACAGGTGGGCCAGAGAGCTGCTATTTTAAAATAATTTTAAATGTATAGATGAGTGGCAAAGATAGGGAGTGTTCCTCAATGCCCTTCAGTCATCTTCTTTTCCTGTTACATCTTACGTGACTATGACATGCTTATCAAAACTGAGGAATCGATGTTAATCTAATACCGTTAGCTAAAGTACAGACTGTATTCAGATTTCTCCAGTTTTTCCACTAATGTCCTCTTTTCTGTTGCAAGATCCATTTGAGGACACCACTCCATATTTAGTTGTCACATGTCCTCAGTCTTCCAATCTGTCACGGCTTTTTCTCTTTCCTTGCCTTTTATGATTTTGATACTTTTGAGGAATAGTGATCAGGTATTCTGTAGACTGTCACACAATGTGGATTTGTCTGATGTTTTCTCATGATCAACTGAGGTTATGGATTTGGGGGAAGGTTACTCCAGGGGTGAAGTGGTCTTCTGGTGGCATCAGGCCAAGGAGCACATGGTGCCAAAATGATTTTTTATTTCTTGTTCACCATAACCACTTGGTTAAGGGGGTATCTGCTACATCTGTCCCCTATTTTCCTTTTCTGTATTTTTAGTGACCAGAGTCAGGAAGGCCAGCCCCCATTCAAGGGGATTTTTAAAGTGGAGGACAGTCACTAAGGGGATTTAAGCAGGAGAGTAATGTGTTTGAATGATTGTTTTAGAAGGAATTCTCCGACTGAAATGTGGAGACTAGATATAGTGGAGTCTGCAATGGGAATAGATATGAGCTGGTGGATTTGAGTGACGTTAGCAGCCTGGGGCAGCAGGCCTGGTTCTTTATTGGACAAGGGAGCTGTGAGAAGGTGGCATCAAGGATGGCCACCAGATTTCTAACTTGGGCAGTTGGTGGCTGGGGCCTGTCACTGAATTGAAGCCAAACGGTCCGCGGACCCTTGGGAGAGCTTGTGCTTCTCCTGCACAGCTACTGACAAGCCATTTTTCACTCTTGGTATTGCCTTGCCTCGGTCGGCCCCGAGGATTAGTGGAGCTGGAAAATGACTTATCAACACATACATTTATTTGTACAAGTTTGGGATTGCCCAGGAGGGTCAGGGTCCCCAGTAAAAGTGGGGACAGTCGTCAAGGGACTGAAGAAACAGAATGGATGTGAATCTCCCCTAAATCCTTTTCTCCGATCAATGACTCCGTGGTTTCGAACAGTAATTTTATTTACCTTTTCGTGTTCCATCAACCGGCCTCCCCCTTGGCCGTGGGTGTTTCGTTTTCCTTTCTGAGGCGTGTAGGGAGGCGGGGTGCGATGCTATATCTCGACCCTCATCTCCGCCGGCGGGACCCCCGCCCAGGTTTCTTTTCTCCGCGGCGCCTTCGGGCGGGAGCCGGAGGAGCGGCGGGAGTTGGGGCTGGGGGCGCCGGCCCCGGCGCCTGGCGGGCCCCGCTCCCATGCGGAGTCTTGTAGACCAGGTGGAAGATGAAGGCGTTGCAGTACCTGAGGGGCGTGGCGCCGTCAGGGGCGGGCACACCTTCCGGGATTCCCCAAGGGCGGGGTGTGCGGCCCCCGAGTTCCGGGGCTAAGTTTGGTGCGGCCAGCTCGGGGGTGGTCAGGTCTTTTGGGCGGTGGGCGAGGAGTTGGAGAGATCTCGTGAGCTGGATCTAAAATTGGGGGCGGGGGGCCTCCCTTGTGGCGCAAGGGGCTAGGCACCGCACTAAGAAGCAATCGGAAGCCTCTGCAGCACGAGTTCGATCCCCGGCCGGCCAGGTTGCTACCCGCATGGCGCTGCAGACCTCTCCTGTCTCGCCCGCTGCTCCCCTCAGCAGTGTGTTTCAGTCAATCTGCCTGTTCTGCTCCCCACTCTGTCTCTGGTGAATCCTCTCACCCCCCGCATCTCTGGCCTGTACCCCAGCTCTTGTATGCATAAATAAATCTTTTTTAAAAATAAAATAAAATTGGGGGCGGGGGGGAGAGGTGTGAAGACCTGGAGGTGGGGTGAGCAGCTCGGGCCTTGGAAGGGGGCAGTAGAGCTGGGGCGGCAGGGGCCCGGGGCGGGTGGGGGGGGGTCGGGGAGGGTCCCAGGAGAATGGAGCCGGGCGTTTTAGGATTCGGAGCCAGAATGAAAGCTAAGGGTCAGGGAGTGAAGAGGGAGAGTCTTGGGACCCTACCAGGGCATGCAGTTGTCAGTTGCTCTGAGGCGAAATGGGGAGCGGAAGGGGTTGGGCTGTGGCGGGCTGGTGCCCCCGCCGGTGGCCACTGCCATGGTCTGGTCGTCCATCACACAGCCGTACTCGCTGCTCTCGGTGAAGAAGGCTGGCACCCGGAGGGACTGGGGCAGCAGGGGTGGGGGCGGGGCCTCAGAGCCTGGGAGAGGCTCCTCCCCCCGGGCTGCCTCCGGAGCTACTGGGGTCTGGGCTGGATACTAGGTCTCATACTGACCAGGATGGGAGAAGAGGCACCAGGCAGACATAGAGAGGGGCAAGAGGACCCATGGGCGCGCCCCAGGTCTGCGGGGCACATGGTGGGGGAAGAAGAGACTTTAAGGCTAGGAGGAGGGGCCAGACAGGAGGTCAAAAGCGGTCCTTGTTGCCCCCATCCCCCACCTGTAGCCGGGGCAGCGAGCTCAGCCAAGTGTCCTTGAGGCCGAAGCCGGAGTTAAATCCTGCCAACAGGAGAGCACGGAGAACTTAGCTCCCCTGGTCTCTCTCCCACCTCCCACACCCCAGGCTCCTCGCCCACACTCTAACTCCAGGCTCCTACCAATAACCAAGTCAGGCTTGGGTCCCTGGAGCAGGTGGTAAGGCCGTGCAGATACTTTGATCTGCAGGTCCCTGCGAACCCCCTTCTCCTTAGTCCCAGAGCTGAGCCGAGCTGATATCCCTGAGCGGACAGATACTTCAGGGCCATCCTAGGAAACCAAGAATGGGGTGGAGAAACCGTCCAGAGTTAGGGCGCTGAAAGAATACATCAGAAAGGAAAGGGGAGAGGAGAAGAGTAGAAAGGTTATGCCCAATCAGGAGAACAGGAGGAAGATCAGGGCTGAAAAACAGGGCTCCCTCAGTGCTCACCCTCTGCAAGGTAAAATGCTGCTGGTCACTTTCTGGGGGCAGGCCATCACCCACAAACTGCAACTCCAGGGCCACGTGGGGAAGCAAGACCAACAGCTCCTAAAGGACATAGAAGGACAGACCTGGGTCTTGTCCTGTATCTATCTTCACACCCAAATGCCCAATCTTCAGGTCTGGAGGGACTTACCCAAAATACCATGACAAGGTCAAACTCCTTCCCAGCTTCCACGACATGGATTTTCAGCGATTGTTTGTTCTGGATGTTGAGCTCAGGGACTGGGTGAGAAACCAGCTGTTTAAGGACATGCTCTTCCCCCCCTTTTCCTCCTGTCCCCTACCAGCTCCTTGTCCCCTTTGCTGCATGCTCCTCCCCCTGCCTCAGCTCTCCTTACAGGACTGGGGCACCAGGTGAGTGATGACGTAGTATACAGTCAGTGGGTAGGTCAGAAGCACAGCAATGGGGGAGTCCAAGCTGAGGCCCCGCCATGTGTAGTAATCCTGCCATGAGCCTGGGGAGAGTGGGTTACTGAGCAATGTGGCCCCAGGCCCGGACCCCAGGCCCTCCAAGCCAATCCCTTTTCTCCATCACCCAGACAGCTGTCCTGACAGTCCCAATTCCTACTCTCTTAGCTCACTCAGGGTCCTTCCAACTCACCAAAGAGGCCCCTGGGTGGATCTGAGGGCACAGGGGGCATCAAGGCAGGCCCATCCCCTTGGAGAAGCTGGTAGGGATCTCCTGAGAGGATGGAAGGAAGAGGAACCTAGGGTCAGGGAGACCCTCTCCTGGCCCATCCCCTTTTTCCTTCCAAAGAGTTATATTCCCTAAGAGAGGGTCTGGAGCAGGAGCAAGAGGAGCAGGGGGGTTTGCCTAGGGATAGGGCTTTTGGATAGCATAAGTAGGATAACTCTCTGAAGGTTGGGAAAAGGCCTGGAGTGGCCCTGGTGGTGGAGTGGGGTTTGGTGTAAATGTGGAGGGGTTATCTTGGTCCTAGACAACTTTTTTCCTCCTTTCCATCGAGGCCAGGGAACCCATGCCTGAAGAGAGGTTCCACGCACCACTGAGAAGAAAGCTGAGGGATGGTGTGATGCCCCGGGGGTGCCTACGGGCACCAGGGCCTGGAATCAGCATGCTGAGCTGGGTCCAGTAGCCACGAGTGAGGCCCCTTGAGGCCAGGAAGGCCTCTTTGTTAAAGGTTTCACTGGTCACCTCTGGAGAAGAAGAAAGGGAGGTGTTGAGGGCCTGGTGGCTAGGACCCCAGACTCGCTCTCCTCAGCCTCTCCAAGGACCCTGAGTCTGAGTCTGGTTCTAGTCAGAGAGAACTAGCATTTCTGAGTACCTGCAGTTAGCAGGCATTGAACCCACAGAATTCTTAAAACTCCATGGGTTTTGGCATTTGTTAGTATCCGTCTTGTACAGATGAGGAAATAGGCTTTAAGACGTTAGGTGATTTGTTGAAGGTTACCAGTTATCTGGGAGGCTAGAGTTTGAATCCCTATTCCCAAATTCCCTCTGCACTTTCAGGGACCTGGCGCTTAACTTCAGCCCCAGAGACCCTGTCTCCAGCCCCAAGATCTCGCCCCCATCCACACTCAGGATCCAGCTCTTATTCCAGGGATTTACACCCTAGTCCCAGGCACTTAGCCTTAAGTGCTTAGCCTGTTGTTCCCTGGCAATAGGCCCTAGTCCCAAAGATCCCACCCCCAGCCCATCCTGATCTTATACCTGCAGTGTAGGTAAAAGGCAGTGTTGCCAGTTCTCCTGCCCGCTCCATGAAGGCTGCAAGCCTTGGGCACCAAAATCGATGGCTCACATCATCTGGGCACCGGCGCCAGTCAGTCCGGAGACAAGCCTCTCCGCAGTACAAGACAGCACTGCACTGGGGACTGGAGGCACAGGGGAGTGGTGGGCACCCAGTGTTAGAGTCATTGGTGCTCTATCAGCCTTGCACTTGGTTATTGCTCTGTATTCTTTCTACCTGTAACAACTTGGGCTTTTTCCCATCCTATGCCCATATTATTCACTGTGTTCTGCACCCCCACCGGCCTGCTTTCTCTTTCTATTTGCTTAATTGTTTGGGAGTCTTCCTCCCCTTTACCCCATCTTAACGGCTGCTCACCAGGGTGTTAGCTTCACTTCAAAGCTGTGCCTGTGACAAACATGGCAGGTTCGAGCCCGAAGGGAGGCAAAGGTGAAACCTGGCCGGGGACCCCACGTCCGCATTGGAGTCTTGGCTAACTTCACTCCTAGCCTTGGGACCAGACTCTCCAGCTCTCTGGATGGGGAGGAGATGGCATCAGGCTTGGGGAGTGGGGCTCAGGAGCCTGGGCCCCTAGGCCTCCACACCCTCAGATACCAGACTCCTGTACCGATGCAGCTGGGCATCTCCCACAGTAAGCTGCCGGGGCTTTCGGGGGTCTCCAGAGCCCATGGGGCAGGCCATGCTGTGGCAGAGGAGAATGTAGGCCCGAGGAGCCATGTTCTCTGTCCCTGAGCCTCTGCCTGCACTCCCCTGGGCTCCATCCATTAGCAGGTCAATGCCCAAGATGGTCCCATGTTCATCCGTCACCAGTAAGAGGCAGGAAAGGTGCAGGGGGGCAGCCTCTAGGGAAAAAAGGGATAGTTGGAAGTAAGAGATGGCAAAGATAGCCAGGGTCAGGGGTACCACACTCAAATGCCTATGGGACTAGGTAAGTAAACTCAGTGAATAAAGGGAACTAGCTAGAGAGAACATGCCTCATCGGAAGGGGACAGCAGCTACACAGTACCAGCATTTGCTGCCATGCAGAAATAACCTATTGTCGGAACTTTAGATTTTTTTTTGAAATAGTGTAAATCCAGACTTATAGGGATTTCCTTCTTTCAGTGTTTAAATGTTGCTCAAATTGAAAATAAAATAACACTGTGGGCCAATGAAAACACCTTTTCAGGCCACATTGGACTGAAGCCCACGTGTTTGTGTCCTGGCTGTTCTGAGTGGTGTAGGGAGCTGCAGAAGGGAGTATGCTGGGCACAGGGAGGGCAGGGCCAGCCTGGTTCTTACCATTTCTCCGTCCCTTTCTCCTCTCAGGCTCTCTTTCGTCCTCTGCCCTGTCCTCTCGGCAGCCATCCTCACCACCTCCTGCCTCCTGCTCAGCGTCTTCTGGCTCCCCTGGAGGCTTTGCTGCCTGGGGGGACTCCCTGCTGGTAGGGCCTGGCTCCCCATTTTCCTCTGGTTCTGCTTTCTCTGTGCCTGCGCCTGCGCCCTCCCCCCCTCCATTCTCTTCTTCTTCATCCTCCTCCTCCCCTTCCTCCCCTTCTTCCAGGCTGACGAAGCTGACGTAGGGGCTTAGGTCTTGCAGGTGCAGTGGGGGCTCATCTCCCAGGAGCCGGGCAGCCTCCAGGCCTGGTCCAGGGCCTGGCTCTGCCCCTTGCCCCAGGCTGATGCCCACACTGCGGTTGGGCAAGACATGGAGCACCCAAAGGGCAGGGTCCTGGGGCAGCCTTCTGATCTGAGTCTCCAGCTGTCGCCAGCGCCCCTCAAGGCTGGCCCCCACAGCTCCACGGTCAGCCACGAACTTGTGGAACCAGCCAAAGAGGAGGGCAGCAAAATCAAGGAACTCATCCCGGTATCCAGACACAAACTCCATATCTTCAGGGGCACGGGGCCTGGGCCCAGACTGAGTGAAAAAGGGATATATGGTGACTGAGAGGGTAGCGGTGACAGTTTGGGGCTAGGTCACAAAATAGGGGAGGGTGTGGGTTGACCCCATCACTTTGGGTGGACTCTCTGCATGAATGTTAGGAGCTGAGAATGGGGATTTCAGGGCTGAGATGGGAGTTCAGTGATGAGAATGGGTGAGTGAGTGATTTTGGGTTAAAAATGTACTCAGGTGTGAGATGGTATTTGGGGTACAATATTTGAGGCTCAAATCTTTAAAAGTAAGGTTTGAAGTGAAAATAGAGGTGAAGAGGGCTAATCTTATCAGGAAGGGTTTGGCGAGGGAAGAATCTTGGACCCGGCTGTGGGCTGTAGGAGGAGGGAACAGGAGCCAGGGCAGCCCTTTGGCTTGGATCCGTCTGGAGGTGAGTCCCAAGACCTAGCCCCTCCCGGGGTCACCGCTCCATTACTCCGGTACCTGCAGCCGCCACCACTTTTCGAAGGTAAATACCTCGTGGGGGTGGGTCGTGACGTCAGGGCTGCCCGAGCCCACGCCCCCTGAGTGGCCGGAGCCCCTGGCCAGTGTAGGCGTGGCCCGGCGGCACGCGGCCTTTCCAGCCGGCCGGGCGCTGGCCACGTGGCCGGACACCTTGACACCTTGCCGCCCGGACCCGTGTCGGGGAATTGGAAGCTCCGGGAGGAGGAGCGAGGCTGTAGCCGCACCTGCCTGTCAGGTGCCGGGAAGGGCCTGGGTGCACCCGGGGGCACTGAGCCAAACCGAATCATCCTGTCCTGCCACTGCCTCCTAATTTGTCTGGCCTGGCCCCGAACCCCGAGTTTTCTTTCGTTTTCCCCAGACATTCCTGACAGCCCCACTAGTCGGAGGCTCTGGGCTCGGCGCGGGGGCGCGGGGGAGGAGCTCCGCCCCCCGGGGTTTCCCCGCCGCGGGAGGGAGCCACGCGGCTTCGACGGCGCTCCCCACCTCCCGCTGGTCTTTGGACCCCGCGGGCGGGCCGCCGCCCACGCCGCCCCCGCCGGAACTCCGCGCCCACCGCCCCTCTCCCCCTGAATCTCGGGTGGAGAGGGAGGAGGAACCGAAAGTCGTTGAGAAAGCCAGTCGGAAGTCACTCCCGGGAGCACTTCAGGGAGTCAGACGGCGGGAGGGAGCCCCCGAGATGTGGCGCGCCGGGGTCCCGCAGTTCCGCGTGCTGCTGCTGCTCCTGCTGGCGTTGCTGACTCTGCCAGGTGCGTCAGAGGCGGGGCTGGTGCCGGGTTCCCCAAGTCAGGGGGAGGGGGAAGGTGTGGGGGGTACTGGGTCCTGTGGGGTTGAGTTAAGTAAGTGGGGAGCCAGTCGCAACCACTGTCCCCAAGGCAGGAGGAGGGCCAACAGCCCGGTGTTGGGGACGAACTGGGATGGCACCCAGGCTCAGATGGGACTGTGGACATCTTTGTGTGGGAGGGGGATGTGGGGTTGAACCTGGAGGTCAGACCCTTGTGTCTGTAGGAGAGGCTGTAAGGGCAGGTGGGTTGGAAGTTAAGTTACAGCTGAGGAGCCCTTTGACTTGACCACCTGCTGACCACCTTTTCTGCCCAGGGTATGGCAACGAGGGGAGCGGAGTCGGTAGTTGTCCTTGTAATAGCCGCGTGCCTTCCAAATCCCCTCCAACGGCTCAAAAGTTAGAACATTTCCGAAAACACCTGGAAGGCTATCTGCGCTGTGTCCGCGTGGTCAGGTAATTTCACTCCCAGCTGGGAGGGCAGTGCAAACCCTCCCTGCCAGGTGCCCCCAGAACCCTCTGGTAAAACTGGAAAACTCCTTCTGAAAGGACCTAGCCTTTTCATCAGGTTGTGCTTGCCTTAATTCTCCACACCTTCATTTCCCTGTGCACCGCCCTGGACTTTCCCAGTCCCAGAAGAAATGAGTGTTCTCAGGAGTGACTTCATGTCCTTGGCATGAGGAAAAAGCTGGGAGAAAGTGGTGGCAGCGGGAGGAGATTCAGCTGAGACCTGGTCCTTCCTCCTCAGGTTCCAATTTCTTTTTGGCACCCGAAGGCAACGCACAAGTGTGTGTGGGGGCAGCAAAGATCCCTGGGTATCGGAATTGATAAACTGCTTTGAGCGAAAAGGTGAGAGCTTTCCCCTTCTCCATAGGCTCTGTCTTTAAGGCTCAGTGGCCTTTTACCTATGACATATCATTTTCCTAGAATCTTCTAGGTACTTTCCTATTCAAAGTACTGTCACTTAAATCCCTGTTTACAAACATCTTTCACTATCACTTTCATGACTTTTGCCAATTCATCCTGTTGCCTGTGCTATTGTTTTTCTTTAAATCCAGGCACTGTTTTTGTTTTCCAATATTTTATTAGGAAAATTCACAGACATATACAGTGTAAAAGCTGAAAGAATTGTACAGGGAACATCCATACACTTACCACCTACACCCTATAATATTTGATTTTTGTATTTTACATATTTTCTATAACAATAAATACATTTGGTATTTACATTGAGCTCACAGCATTTTAACTGTATTTCCTTTAGTGTACACTCATCTGTTTACCCATCCCTCCACTTATCATCGACTGACTTTATTTTTTGATGTATTTCCATGTAAATTGAAGGCATGACTATACTTCATCCCCAAACATTTCAGCATGTCTATTATTAAATAGAGTTCAATATTTTTATTAATTTTATTGGTATAAATTTGACAGGTATGTAAATTTAAGGTGTACAAAGCATTACTGTGATACATTTATATGATGTAATATGATTGCCTTTGTAACAGTATGTATCACTTTATACAATTATAGTATATTATTGTCTATTTTCACTATACTGTGTGTTAGATCTCTATGGCTTATTGCAACTACGCATTGCAAGTTTAAGAGTTCAATATTTTGTTGTCCCTTTTTTCTTTTGAGGTAAAATTTACATATAATAAAATGTAAGTGTATACAAGTAATTTTTGAAAAACTTAAACAGCAACTTGTCCTAAGCAATAACATCTGCCAAGTCATAAATTTGATGCACTAGTAGTATTTTCCTCCTAAAATAAATATTCAGTCATTGAAGTACAAAATGTTTTCCCATGTTCCAGCTGTCTTCTGTAGCAGTGGTATGCGTACTGTCCTTTGGATTACACAGATCTACATCATTTCGTTGACTCTTCCCAGCTACCTTGCCCTTAGTACTGAAAATATCCTCACTTTACATCTGAAAGGAAAGAGCCCCAGAGGGGTGAAGAGACTAGGGGCAAGGTCACATGGCTACTCTGTGGCAGAGCCAGGGTTCCAACACAGGTCTCCCTTCCCCAGTTCAGAAAGGCATGCTCCTGCAGTGTTTCCATGTGATGGTTTGCTCATTTTCTTCTCCCCGCTTTTCCCCTCTGCCCATACCTTTCTCTCCTGGCCTTCAGCGTTTCCCTTGATGTTCTCCTTGACCCACTACCCTTTCCTCTACTTCTTTACCCTGTTCCCTCATAGCCCCGATTTCTCACTTCTTGCCTTTCTAGAATGTGGACTTGCTTACTTTGGGAATATGGCCCACCAGAAGAGATTACATCCCTCCACGGCCCAGGGTCCTGAGTCCACAGAAAGAACACCTTTGAATATCAGCACTCCTGTCCAGATGTACCTCCCACCCACCTTGCAGCCTACCCTTCAGCCCAGCCTTCTAGCAGAAACACCCTCCTTGGACAAAAAGCTCACCTATTCCAATGAAACCATCGATTCTAGTCTGGAAACTAGGGACAGCCAGAAGCAAGACAAAGTGCGTTCTGCAGTGCTGGTACCAGTGCTGTCCCTCTTGGTCATCACCTTCATTCTCACCAGTGTCCTCACCTATGTGCTGTGCAAGAGGAGACAGCAGTCACTGCAGAAGTATCCAGGTAAAATGGGCCTCTGAATCCCTCCTCCAAAGGACCCACATTTTCCCCAGCAGGGATCCTTCCCCAGGGGGGTCAAGTGACTACAAAACTGCCACAGGCAACACATAAGCATACTGTTGCAACAGGGTTCAAAGGCCTTGAGGAAGAGTCAGTCAGAAACTGCAGAATTGATGGGGAGGGAGGGAAGTTGTCAAGGTTCCAGGAACCAGTACTTGTCTGATAAAGCTTACAGCACATTAAGATGGCAGCTAAAGTACTCTAGCGGGAGATGGAGCTATGAAGGAAGGTAGGAAGCATTCATTTAATTCATAAATCTTTGTGAATGGGTCATAAGGTTAATATTATGGGGTCTGATTCTTCAGTTCAAGCTGTCACCCCCAAATGTCCCTTAATCTCAGCGCTCATCTCTTCTTTTCCAGGTTTGGAGTTTGATTATGCACATGTGACACCAGATTTCAACACTTAAGCTGAGAATAGAAGTTTGTGAGGGCATGGCCTCCCTGGTGGTGCAGGGGTTAAAGATATCGCTTTCAAGCTATCACCAGCCATTACCCACATGGTACAGCAGACCTCTCCTGCCTGCTCGCTGCTCCCCTCAGCAGTGTATTTCAGTAGATCTGCCTGTTCTGCTCCCCACTCTCTCTGGTGAATCCTCTTATCTACCCCCCACCCCCCCGCAACTCTGGCTTATACTCATTTTTGTACCCATAAATAAATATTTTTTGAAATACGATGTTTGTGAGGGTAGATTGTGATTTGTTCAATGTAATGCATTTAATACTCCAACAATCATGGTAGGCACTCTACATGTGTTTGTTGATAACTAACACAAGAATTACAAGCCATTGCCTTCTCTTAGATAGTCTGGATTTTTTTCAATACTATAATATAGAATATGCCTTTTCACAGAGTAATATCTTGGACAAGTTCTATGTGTGTTTTTTAACTATAAAATTTTTTTTTTTTTAACAATTATTGACTCTTTCCACAGACACTGGCCTTGTAACACCTTGTCATAATTCCTGCCTTCAGCTTCTCTGCTGGTGGTCCCTCTTGTCCCAAGTTTCTCTGCATACACTATTCCTCCCAGATTCACGCCTCTCCCACTTTGTCCCCTGACTCCACAGTAAAGGTTTGGGTTTTCCCACCCTTGCTCCTCAGCTGGTGATATACAGACAGGTTTCACTTCCTCAATCCCTTGTATCATCCATATATGCCCTAGTGAGAGTCTGAGTTCCTTGTTTTGCTACTGTTTTTATTAAAATCCTTAGTTCGTGGGTTTTTTAAAGATTTATTTTTTATTTATTTATGTATACAAGAAATGGAGTATAGGCCAGAGGTGTGGGGGGCGAGAGGATTCACCAGAGACAGAGTGGGGAGCAGAACAGATGGAACTACTGAAATACACTGCTGAGGGGAGCAGTGGGTGAGACAGGAGAGGTCTGCTGCGCCATGTGGGGTCAGCTCCCTGGCCGGGGATCAAACTTAAGCCATTGTGGTCACAGTGCTGAGACTTAACAACTAGGGCACCAGGGTGGCCCCTAAAATCCTTAGTTCATGTTTTGTCTTTTCTAGTGAAGAATGTGTCTTCACTGGGTCACATTGTGGGAAGCCTGTGACAAGGATATGTGGGAAATGTATGAGGAAGTGGGCTGATGTCTGAGTCTCCACCTCTTGTCTAAGTCAGTGCTTTTGTGAAATGCAGAGCAGGAGCACTCTGCTGGACCAGCCAGAGCATAGTTTTGGGCAGTCTTAGTCTTTATGTTACTCCATTCCCACGTGTATCTCTTTGTCCCCATATATTTGACCAACAGAGAATGTATGAGGCAGCTCATGCTCCTCATCTTACAGGTCTCCAGGTTCAGGCCCAGGGTGCAGATGGTGGTTTCCCTCCAAGTTCTTGCTCCATCTCCTTGGTCTAGTTTTCCAGCATCTGCTCACAGGTTCGGGCTACATCACTGAGCTTAAGGCGAGCATAGTCCACTCGTTTCAGGGCCATTTGACAGTCTTTCCTTGAAGAGTAGCTGGAGCCCTCATGGGGTTGCCCTGTGGCCACCTACAGGATAGTTAGATTGATCAATGAAGCACCTTTTCCCTTAACCATCCCTCACATGGGTCATGACTCCTCCCATTTCTTCCTTGAGTTTGAACCAGTCATGCCACCCGGTGGCTGGATGATCTGGAGCAAATCACTTAATTTGTTAGCCTCATCTGTAAGGTGAGGTTGACAATAACTACTTCTGACAGTTGGAAGATTTGGTAAAATACTGCAATCCCGCCCCATTTCTCAGAATGTAGACACCCAGAGTTTGAGGCCCCTGAGGTCAGCCAAGTTTCTAGGGACGAAGTCGTCTGGCTTTGTTTACATGCCTTCTCCCAGGATTTCCCCATCCAGCTCATGTGATGCCGTCCAGCGAAGTAGGAACAAACTCCCCGAGAAGGAGTCATCATCCCACCCAGTCGCGTTGACGCTGGCTTGGAGGCCTCATCTTCCCACCCTTGAATGCGAAGGCTAAGAAAGCAAGCTGGGGTGGGTGCGCAGCACCTCCCACCACATACACACCTGGGTGAGGTAGCGGATCTGCGCCGACAGCTCCGCCTCCACGCGCTGCACAGACGCGATAAAGGCACTCGCGTGCCGGTCTAGGAGCCGCTCGTTGGTTTTTTCTTTGGACAGTTCCAGTATCACCGTACCTGCCAGGGCGGAGAAAGGGCGGGGCTACCTGAAGAAGGCCCGTACAGCCCCGCCCCTGGGCCAGCCCCTTCACCGCCTTTTCGCATGCGCCGTGCAGGAACTGCGGCTCCCTCCCCAAGCCAACCCCTCTCCTGGAGTCGCGTGGGCGCTCGAGCGCGCCCTACTCCTTGCGCCTCCGGTAGTCGTCGTATCCCGAACCTGCACTTTGAAGAATGGCTCCGATTTCCCGTTCAATGTCTTCCAGGCCGCGTAGTCGCTCGTTCGCCAGGCTGTAGGTAGCCATTGTCACCCTAGGAAGCCACCTTTCGCAAAAGGCGATGCTTGAGCCCGGAAGTGGCAATCGCTTTGCGCCTGCGCACAGAGTTCTTCATAAGTACTACAATTCCCATGGTGCTCAGCGCTGTCTCGCCTGTCTCGAGTCCTCCGGTGAACTACAAGTAGCCTGCGCGCTCGCGGTCTGCGCAGCCACCACAGACCGCTTGTGATAAGAGACTGTCGAAATAGCCCCTAGCCTGGGGTTTTTCAGATATGTTCATCTTCACGCCACTAAAATGAGGTCTACACTTTATTTCTTCTACAAGAATGTATTGAGCGTCTGCTGGGTGCTAGGTGATGATGGTGGGAGATCTGGAGTATTTCTCCAGGCTCGACAGCTGTGGACCCTATGTCTGCCCATCCTGCCCCAACAGATGGGGCCTGGGGGAAACTCAACTTGGTGAGTGTTACATTATTCGCCCTAGCGTTTGCCCTGGATAGGAGCCGAACTGACACACAGACTGTCAATATAGTCTTAGATACTGGCTTCTTTCAGCCTTTCCCCCGTCCCTGTGTTGCCTATTATGTGTTGGGCCCTGGGGATACAAAGATGAATGAAGTAGACTCTCATGTGAAGGCAGGATAGTTGTGGTTTTTTTTTTGTTTGTTTTTGTTTTTTGGGTTTTTTTGTTTTGTTTTGTTTTGTTTTTTAAGAGAGATGCCCAGGGAGTATCGCTAGGAGCACAAAGAAGGGATTCTGGGAGGAACCGTTGCTTGAACCATACATGCAACCAGCTGTTCCTCACCAGAACTGAATCTTAGGGGGTTCAACCAGTTGGCTGAGAGATTGGAGTGGAAAAGATAAACGGCATGGGCAGGTGCATGGTCCTGGGAAGGGCTCTAGCACGTTAGAAATACAGCAAAGGGATTCAGTTTGGAGTGAATGGAGTGTGGCAGTGTTAGGTGTGACAGTGATGGACTTGAATGGAGCCAGAACAGGAAAAGACTTGTAAGTTATTTGGACTTTATTTTCACGACATTTTGAAGCCTTTGAAGACTTTTAAAGAAGTGTTTTACGACCATATTACCTTTTAGGAAAGATCAACCTTGACAGTTTATAGAAAATTGAGAATAAAACCAGTTTGCACATGGTTAGCAAATGAATGGAGACTTTCAGTTAAACTTAAAGAATCTAGCTTTTAATGTCACTCCTTTTCTAAATCCTAATAAGTTAAAAGGGTTTTCTAAAGGGGAGAGACAATAATAACAACTTTAAATTGAAAGTGGAAAATAGAAAGGTAAGTGAAAACTGACTTAGCAGAGGAAGTGGGAATTAAGCCAGTAGTGAAGGAAGCTTAGAGTTAACTTGATTTACCCTTAAATTAGTGGCATCAGATACAACTGGGGCCTAGAGGTGTAGGTATTACAATTAGGAGGATTATTTGAATCCTCTGGAGCTCCTCTTTTTCTCCTCCTACCTCAGCAGCTATTCTCCTATATATCAGATTACTGGAGATTTCTTTGTTGCAGATGGAAAACAGAGGGTCTTTAGTATGGAGGGCACCTGGGCACAGTTGATTGAAATAAGAGATTAAATGAAAGTTTTAGTGAGTGGTGGTTTCTAGAACTCTGGCAACCGGGATTATACCTTCCAGGCCAGAGAGTGAAAGACTTATCTAGGGTATTTGGTTGGTCAGGTCTAAGGCCTAAGTGTATTAACATCAGTTGCCCAACAAACCATTTAGCCAGATCATCCCAAAGTGAAACCCACAGTTGGTAAATCCCTGTTGTGTCCATAGATCTTCTAGTCAATTTAATACCCCCACCCTTAAATATGACAAGACTTACAAATTGATTGTAGATATTTGAAGAAAACTTTCTTTTAAAAAAAAAAAACTATGGTTTTTGAGTGTGATTTGACAGACTTATTTTATTTTAAAGATTAATTTATTTATGCATACAAGTACAAACCAGATGTGTGGGGGTGAGAGGATTCACCAGAGACAGAGTGGGGAACAGAACAGGCAGACTGACTGAAATACACTACTGAGGAGAGCAGTGGGCGAGACAAGAGAGGTCTGCTGTGCCATGTGGGTAGCTCCCTGGCTGGCCTGGGATCAAATTCGTGCTGCAGAGGCTGTGTATAGCTTCACAGTGCTGTGCTTAACCCCTTGCACCATCAAGGAGGCCCTGAAGAAAACTTTCTAACATGAAAAGCAGAGACCAAGATAAAAATACCTTAGAGAGGGCCTCCCTGGTAGTGCAACAGTTGAGCCCTGGGCTGCGAAGCTGCCCGCAGCCTCCGCAGCACCGGTTCAATCCCCAGCCGCAGGCGAGGGTCCCACATGGTGCGCAGACCTCTCCTGCCGCGCCCGCTGCTCCCCTCAGCAGTGTATTTCATCAGTCTGTCTGTTCTGCTCCCTGCTTTGGCTCTGGTGAATTCTCTCACCCTCCCACGCTTCTAATTGTACCCAGTGCTTGTATAAATAAATAAATAAATCTTTAAAAAAAAATACCTTAGAGAATATAGAATAAAACTTAAGGGCCTCCCCGGTGGCGCAGCGGTTGAGCGCTGGGTTGCGAAGCTGCCCGTGGCTTCTACGGCGCCAGTTCGATCCCTGGCTGCTCCCCGGCCACCAGAGGAGGGTGCCACATGGCGCGCAGACCTCTCCTGCCGCCCACTGCTCCCCTCAGCACTGTACTTCGGTCCTTCTGCCTGCTCTGCTCCCTGCTCTGGCTCTGGTGAATTCTCTCACCCTCCCGTGCTTCTGACTGTACCCAGTGCATGTATAAACAAAAAACCAAACAAACAAACAAATAAATAAATAAATAAAAACATGCCTCTATTAAAAAAAAAAAAAAAAAACTTAAGTGAAAAAAAACCCACCATTGGGCCTCCCCAGGTGGCGCAGTGGTTGAGTGCTGGGTTGCGAAGCTGCCCGCGGCCTCTGCGACACCGGTTCGATCCCCGGCTGCTCCCCGGTCACCGGAGGAGGGTCCCACATGGCGCGCAGACCTCTCCTGCCGCCCGCTGCTCCCCTCAGCAGTGTACTTCAGCCCTTCTGCCTGATCTGCTCCCTGCTCTGGCTCTGGTGAATTCTCTCACCCACCCGCGCTTCTGACTGTACCCAGTGCTTGTATAAATAAATAATAAATAAATAAATAAATCTTTAAAAAAAAAAAAAAAAACCCACCATTGATGCTTTTCATAAGAGATATTACAATGAAGAAATGAATCCAGAGAGCACACTTGAAAAACAAAACTGAAGGAAGGGGGCCTCCCCGGTGGCGCAGCGGTTGAGCGCTGGGTTGCGAAGCTGCCCGCGGCCTCTGCGGCGCCGGTTCGATCCCCGGCTGCTCCCCGGCCACCGGAGGAGGGTCCCACATGGCGCGCAGACCTCTCCTGCCGCCCGCTGCTCCCCTCAGCAGTGTGCTTTGGTCCTTCTGCCTGCTCTGCTCCCTGCTCTGGCTCTGGTGAATTCTCTCACCCTCCCGCGCTTCTGACTGTACCCAGTGCATGTATAAAACAAAACAAACAAACCAGCGAACAAATAAATACAGCATGCCTCTATTAAAAAACAACAACAACAAAAAAAAAAAAAACTGAAGGAAGGAATGAAAAAATCTAGTAAAGGGATCAAAGAGAAATTAAAGCACTCTCTCAGTAAAGCAAAAGAAAAGAGATGGTGTCTAGGGAGAGAAAAAAGATGGTTTATAGGGAGAAAAAAAAGATAACTAATCTTAAATTCTGTAAGGAAATAAAAACAAAACAAAAAATAAAACGTGAAGACCAAAAAACTTTCTAAGAAGAGAACAGAGAAAATGAAGAGGAAGAAAGGACTTGTGCTTTCAGATTAAAAGGACCCATCAAGTGCCCAGTGTCCTGATAAATCTTGAAATATCAGAATACTGGGCTCAGAGAAAAAGGTCTTTCAAAACCTTGCAATGTGAAAATAGACTACATGCTAAAGATCAGCAATCAGAATGGCTCTGGGCCTCTTGATAGTTACACTCCACACTAGACATCAATGGAGCAATGCCTTCAATATTTGGGGCAGAGAGTTCCAATGTAGAATTTAGTACTTCAGCTGTGCTAGTAGGGTGAAGGCTAAAAAATGCAATGACTCAGCAAAATAATACTTCATTTTGTCTCATAGAACAGTTCAGTGTGGGGAATTCCGTGTGCTTCACAGATCATACCATAAACAAGGCGAGCAGTACAGTTCTGCTAGCCTTTAGGGTTTTATACTCAAAAATGTGGTCTGCACACTAGTGGCATTAGCATCACCTAGAAGCTTGTTAGAAATGCAGAATTTCAGGCCCTACCCCAGACCTGCTGAATATCTGTGTTTCAAGATCTGCATGCCCGGTAAATTTGAGAAACATTGCTCTAGGGCTTTGCTATCTGCAATGTCAAAACTGGATTGCTGCCATCCCTGGGTAGCAGCTGGCAGGAGCCGGGTAGAGAAAATGTGTAGGAGGCACACCTGTCTCAGGTCTGGCTAGGAAATGGCCCATATAATTTATACTTACGTTCCCTTGAAGAAAACTTAGTCATATGGTCTCACCTAATTCAGTGATTCTGGGAAATCCAGTCCTTACTTAGATGGCCACCTGTTGTTCTAGTACCAAGGAAGAATAGATTTTAGGGGTATCTGGACCCTCACAACAGCCAAATTATCGATACAAAGGTAGAATAAAGACATTTTGATATGTGTAAGTTCTTAAGTTTTTCTCCTAAATGCCCCTGGGAGGAAGTTAAGAGCTAAATGCAGAAGAGAAAGATAGGAAGCCAGAAAGTAAGGCCTTAAATTAGGTGAACAGGAACCGTGGTTTATGGTGAAGGGAAATCCAGATCAGGCATGAAGACCATCCAGTTCAGAGTAGAGCTGATTAGAAGGCTCCTAGAGATATTTCTTCAAGGAGATGAAAATGATGAAACTTATTTTGAATGAATTGAGGGGATATACAGACTTCTGGAGGAGAGTATAGGAGGGACTTAGTAATAAATTCAGAGAACAAGCAAATTTTTAAAATAAAAGCTATTTTGGGAAAGCAAAGTTGTGCAAGAACAGAAAGACAATCATAA